ATTGCAGATGTAATATTAGGAATTAAAATTTTTAAAACATTTAAGGGACTTGTCATAGCTCAATCTCATTTTATTGAGACTGTACTTAAGAAGTTTCATATATATGATGAAAGTTCAGTTAAAACACCAGTAGACTTAAGTCTACATTTGGCCAAACATAAATGCGAATGCATATCTCAATTAGAGTACTCTCAGATAATAGACAGTCTAATGTATATTACAAACTGCACTCGTCCGGAAATGCATATGCAGTGATTAAACTTAGTAGATATACAAGCAACCCAAATAATGACCATTGGAAGGTATTGGTAAGGGTTCTTAGATATCTACGATACACCTCAAATATTGGATTACATTATACTAGATATCCAGATGTATTAGAAAGATACAATAATGCTAATTGAATATCAGATACAAAAGACTCAAAATCCACTAGTGAGTATGTTTTTAGCATTGGTAGTGCGACCGTATCTTGGAAATCTTCTAAACAAACATGTATAGCTCGATCCACGATGGAATCTGAGTTCATAGTTTTAGATAAAGTTGGAGAGGAAGCAGAATGACTTCGAAATTTTTTTAGAGGATATTCCATATTGGCCTAAACATGTGCCTACAATTAGTATACATTGTGATCAGTCAGCTATTGGTAGAGTACAAAGTAGTATGTATAATAGTAAGTCTCGACGTATTCGTTCGAAGACTTAATACAAGTAAGCAGTTGATAATGGTGTTATTTCCATAGATTATGTAAAGTCTAAAGAAAATTTTGCGGATTCACTTACCAAAGTCTTGCCAAGAGATCAAATATACTGTCTATCAAGAGAAATGGGCTTAAAGCCTACTACGCAAGAATCTTTGTAGTGGTAACCCAACATTGCTAACTGGAAATCCCAAAATCTTGGTTTAATGAGACAACTAAGTTATGAAGATTTAAAGAAGCACTTCGGATTTAACTCTTATCCATTCCTATGATAAGAAAGTGCTATCTACAAAAATTTTTAGGTTAAGTTATATCTTTAATGATTCCTATATCTTGGACTATCTAAGTGGGGTATAACAGATATTCTCAATAGGAGATCACCTATATAAGTGTGAAATGTGGCTACTTCTATGAGAATGTTTCAAATGCTTGAATTTTCTAAAGCACTTATGAAATTCAAGAGTTGTTCAAGGCCAAAATGAACACAACAGTGAAAATTCGAAAATGTTAGGGAGGTTATTGTGTTGAAACTATTTTATTGGTTTACACCAACGGCTGACAGTTCAAGACACCATGTTCACTAATTAGCCAAATAAATCTGATAATATTCTACTGTAGAAGGTTCAAACCCATAAGGTACCTATCCAAATTAGATAACATTCTGTTCGATCTCTCTATAGGGGTCTACATAGTCTATTGCATTAATTTCCATTCATGTAGGTGATTGTTGGAAAAATTGGTTTTTATTAGTTGGTTTGATCAACTTTTGACAAATTATTTTAGTGGGTCCGTTAGTTGGACAAAATATTTCTTTGGTCGAGTGTGTTATACTCCATCAGTATATTAGTATAATGTATTTATTTTCTCAAAACCAATTTAGGGTGAATGAGGAATTAATGTCAAAAGATAACCACTTGAAGTTGAAATAAATTGAAATAAAAATTGGTGAGAAATTAGAAAATGTCAATCTCATATAAGAACACTAGAAGAGTATACACCACTTTATATTGTTGAAGTTTGGGACTTGAGTTTGGGCCTCAATGGGTACCAATATTCTTTGAATGGGAGAGAACCTACATGCTAGTAGGTTGTGCCAAAACCCACACGTGCGCGTCGCCGCCGCCGCCGTCCGACGGGCGGCTCGGCACAGCATGGCACTGGCACGAGTCATGGGCTTGGGCTTGGGCTTGAGCTTAGGGCCAATGTGATATACATTTTTTGGTAAAATAATATTCGATTTATATTATTTTATTATTATTTAAAATAATAATATATTTAATTTATATTTTTTATTCACAATTTTTTTGTGCGTGACACGTGGATTCTTCTAGAAGGGCGGTTGACGGTTAAACTGCATGTCCAAACAGTTTGTGTCTGTTGAAGACACAACCTTTCAACTTCTATAAATAGGCCCCCATACCTTGATTTTCATTCACTCCAAATCAATTCTGATTTTATTCTTCTTCCGAAATTATTCATTTATCCCTACATTATTCATATTCTGCAATCCAGCCTCGAAAAATTATTTTCGTACATTTTATCCCTCAATTTTTTAGGGAGATCAAAACGTAAGTAGATTCGCCATGTCTTCTAATTTGTAGTACTACTATTAAAATTCGAGGTAGTTGTATCTTGGGAGACGGGTGTCGAAATATCGTCAGCACCAGTGCGGAGTATTATCATCTTAAGGAGAAATAGTCGAACTATTGCCTTAACCATTAATATTCTATAGCATTCATTGTCTACGATGTTATTATCAGGGGCGGACCCAGCACCCGGCAGTGCTGGATTCCCCGGAACATTTTTTTTTTTTACAGTGAATTAACATTAGAGATTATATACCGGGTAAGTTCCCTATTTCCTATACATTTCTTGTAGCTCAACTGGCAAGAACCTTTATTTTTACATGAAAGGTCCCTGTTTCGAATCTATTTCCTAACAATTTTATTGTGAAATATTTTAAATTCTACAATTTTTGCCAAAATCAAATGAAATAAGGGAGAGGATTCAAGCAACTAACCTCAATAATAATATTGAACGTTAAACCATTGTGGCACTAATAAAATTTGATTATAGGTTTACCAGAATAATATATATTACATTTTAGCGGTTTTAATGTAATTGTAAAAATTGGAATCCGTGTTCTTCCTTTGAATTATATAAAATTTGGTCACAATATCATTTAATGAATATTGTTAATTTTTACTACAAAATTATATATGTTTAATTTGAAACAAGTCTTTTTGCTTCCAAGGTGTTGTTCTTGTGTTTCCTTTTTCCTTTTTGGTCAGGCTCGCTCATCCACCTTCTCTCTGATGTTATTTTCATATCGAACACTAATTATATGGGTTGGCGTGCATGATTTAGTATAATGAAATGTCTGGTCTATAGAATGAATACAACTTACGATCTTGATTATTGAGTTGAGACGAACAATTATTTTCTCTGTTGTCTCTAATCACAGTGTGAGCTTGACCAGGGGCGGACCCAGCACCCGACGAGCCCCGACGGCCGCCCATACTGGATCCGTCGGAACATTTTTTTTTTTTTTTACTGTGAATAAACATTTGAGATTATATATCGGGTAAGTTCCTTATTTTTAATACATTTCTTGTAGCTCAATTGGCAATAACCTTAATTTTTACATGAGAGGTTCCTGTTTCGAATCCATTTTCTAACAATTTTATTGTGAAATATTTTAAATTCTCTAATTTTTGCCAAACCCCTAACCTCAGGATATAATATTGAACACTAGACTAGCGTAGCACTCATGGAATTTGATAATAAGTTTACCAGAATAATATATATTACATTGTAGCAGTTTTAATGTAACTGTAAAAATTCAAACGAGCGTTCTTCCTTTGAATTATACAAAACTTGACCACAATATCATTTAGTGAATATTGCTAATTTTTACAACAAAATTATATATGTTTAATTTGAACAAAATAATTTTTATATTTAAATTTTAGACCTTCTTTGATTTCCATTTTTTTCAAAATACATTTTTTCTTTTCTTTTCTTTTAATCGCACATTTTTCAATAAAATAATATTATATGCAAATTCAAAACTTTTCCTTATTTTTAACCACACATACTCCATCAAATCACTATTTCAAAATGTATTTTTTGCAATAAAAATCTAACGGGATTTTTAATATTTTATTGCTGACAACAGTCAACGATCGACGGTCACCCATGCTCACTTGAAATCTTGGGTTCGCTGCTGATTATTATGCCCACGTCAATTCACTATGGTATAATTATTTGCCCTCAAAAATTAATGTTTGATTCCTAACCATAAACTCTATTTTTATTCCGTCTTTAGCAAAAGACCTCAAATTTCAATTTGAAGTACTAAGAATCAAAAGATTTAAGTCTATAAGCAAGTGCATCGACAACGCCATTAAAACTGTCAAACCTGGAACTCACCACATCAATGCCCACCCCTAATGCCTCGGCACCGGCTGCCGTAACCGGACCATGCGCAGCCACCACCATTCTTGGACATCTCTGTCTAATTATTCCCCAATTCAATCCCAATTCTTCCAAGCTCTTCAACAACCCCTCCACCTCTCCAGTACTAGTGAAAACAATTGCATCCAGTCCACCTTCCTCTTCGCTCTTTCCCACTAGTTGTAAAACACTCTCCAATCCAGCCCATCGCGTCTCGTACGCGTTCAATCTGATCGGAATCCACCCTTTTCGAGTTAAATCAGCCAGGAATTTAGGCACCACCGGTGGCTCTTCCAGGCCTATCACTAGTGGAACTGGGCACAATACCTTTTTCCCTTGTCCTAATCCGATTGATTCCACCATAGCAGTTGGGGTTGCAACTGGAGGCACTAGAACACTGATTCTACCTGGGTTTTCACATAATTCGTTAATGAAAGATTCATCGAGGAGCTCGGAGTCTTTTCCTAAAGCTGATAATATGAATGATTCTCCATGTGGGGGCAATGGGGGTGTCTTGATTTTGGCTAGTGCTTCAGAAAAGGCAGTGATTCCAGTTCTTGAAGTGAATGCTATGGCGGAGAATTCTTCGAGAGGCGATATTTGTCCATTCTTCAATGAGAGGCAGTGTCGGATAGAGGAAATGGTTTGTGGGGTAGATTCAACGATGACTGTGGGGCACCAGAGAGGAGCCCAACCGTTGTTGTGGATAAGGTGAGAGAGCCTTCCGGCATAGTTTTTTGGGGTGGTGAAGGCAACTACACGAGTGGCTGGTAATGACGGAGGAGGCTGCAGATTTAGGACTATCATTGCCTCATCATTCTGGGTGATGCTACTGCTCTCATGGGATATCTAAGCTTAAAAAGTTACTCATATTTAAAAATAAGTAATTATTTTTATTGGTCAAAAGAAAAATGAGTATTTACTTATTTTAACATAAAGTAAAAATTACTTTCTAAAATTAGATTTTTTACCCAAAAATAAAAAGTTTTAAAAAATGCACATCTTTATCCAGAAGTGTATCCAGTAATCACTGATACATATACAGGAGAAAAAGGTAGGATTCACTTGTAAATGTCTTTCACCTTAAAATTTGAAGAACCTTGCTAGGGTGACAGGCAACCCGCACAATACGGCGGTCGGGGGAGGGG